TTAAATCATGTTTAATTTGGACTTCTCTGTGCACGCTCTTTGAGGTGGTGACCATAGACCTCCATTATATGACTGACAGACAGGAACGGTTTGACCTAAAAATATAAAATTAAAAAATACTACGGAAACAAAGACACCTACATCTTAGATGCCCTTGAGGTAAGATAAAACATACCAAAAATTAATTTTAAAGTGAACTATCCCTTTAACAATGTGATATTCATTCAAAAGCAGAAATTACATTCCGTCCCACTCTGTCCCAAAAAGTGCATTAAAATAGATAGAAAAAAAAAAACCCAAAACTTTTCTTAGATACAAACCTGGTGCTTTAACTTAAGTAACAACTGTATAATTAAAGCAATGACCTTATATATTTCATTAATAATTCGGTTTCAGTCATCTTGTTTTGACTTTGCCCATGGTAAAGCCCATGGTCAATGCAAATTTATAAACATAAAAAGCAGTGTTGCCTAAAATGTTATGGTGAAAACCTGTTAACTGTAAGATGTTTTATGTATATTACATACTAAATTATATAACAATTATTTGTTTTAGTTTAGTTAAGGATATTTGTCCACAAACTCACACAAATCTTTCTTCTTGCCCATGGTGATGTGAGGTCACTGCGCCTTTCGACCGGTAGGTGTCAGTATGCGCGCGTCCGCCTGCCTGCGCGTGCTTGTTGATGTCCACGAATAAGAGTGTGTGTCATGCGCTGCAGTTCTGCAGTTCCCAGTGTTTTGTTTTGTTTTCACACATAACACTTTCTGTTGTAGATAGCATACAAAACACGAGCAGCAGGGTAAGTTATGAATATATGTGGCGTTTAGACCGAGAATGCTGTAAATTCACAAATCAGCCATATTATAGTACGTTTTTAGTAATATCTAAATGTTTTCAGGGAGATGCCAGTGTGTTTACTTGAACGTGAAGATGATTCACACCATAAACCCATTCAGCTTCATCACCAACAAGCTGTGACTTTGGGTCGAGGACCAGAAACTAAGATAAAAGACAAAAAGTGCTCAAGAGAACAAGGTTGGTAAAGTTAGAGGATGCATATGGCAAGCCGTCTTGACTTTTAATCTTTCACAGGATGTGAATTTGTGAGATTAATAATTCAATTAATTTTTAATTCTTGATATCAGGAATTCTACTATTAAAAATGGCATTTTTTATATAAAATGCTAATTCTTGATAACATCAATGACGTAATAACTCGCAATAGCATTTATTAACTGTTACATTTCAACTGTTCAAACTATAATTCTTGATATCTGAAATTGCTAGTAAAATTGTTTTCCTTTTCTGATATCAAGAATTTGATTGTTACTAGTAAGAAAGCCATTTTAAATATCAGAAATACATTTTCAGAAATCAGACATAACAAATGAACTTGAAATATATTTACAGATCTCACGAAGTAACATTTGAACTGGTGAAAATTAATTATTGATGTCAAAAATGCACATTTTTACTATTAAGAATGATATTTTAAAGAAATAAATTCTTGATTTCAACAGCTGAATTTGAATGGCAGCCTATGGTGACATTTAACTAGTGAAAATACATGTATAGATATCAAGAATAATAGTTTTTACATTAAGAATTTGTATTTCTGTGAGTGATGACGTTATTGTTGGCATCAAGACTTAGCATTTTGTAACCGAAAATGTAAGTGTTGCTGTCAAGAATGCATATCCTGAGAACAAATAAATGTCTAAACGGCTTGCCATAGACGCAGGCTTTCTTCATTTTATATATTTCTTTGCAGTTGAATTGAGAGCTGATTGCAACAGAGGATTTATCTCAGTTAAACAGGTATGCTGTAATATTATAATATTAGAGAAATATGTGATAAATTACAGTATAATTGATATTATAAATATAATAATGCATGTTTGACCCACTCAACAGTTGGGTGTGAATCCTACATATGTGGACAATGTGGCCGTGGGCAAAGGCAATCAGGTACAGTGTGTCATCAAAATCACTTGTGTTATTAGGTATCCAGCAAACTCGCTCTGTCCATAAATGCCGTTTGTTCTGTTGTAATTGAGGCTGTATTGCACAGGTTGCTGGTCTTAACATCCTACAAACCACATGTCGCCCACCTCTACAACCAGGTGGCCATAAAGCCGGGCCAGAGACTTTACATGGTCAACCAGCTGTATCCATATACAGTGAGGTTCACTGAGGAGACGCTCACAGCCAGATCCGCTGCGGAGGGGAGCAACGCCTCCAAAAGATCCCATCGGATGAGCTCTGAGGGCAACGGAGAGAAGATCAAGAGTCCTGCGAATACTACACCATCATCCGACGGTTCACCTCCAGCCAAAAAGACACCGCCGCCCGGACCTGATAAAGCAGTGCGTTCCTTTTGCAAGTTTTCATGAGTAAATGTGATTAAAATAGTAGCCTAATAAAGCTGCCCGAGTTACTGATTTTGCAATAAAATTTAAAAAAAATATGATATTTTACACTTGTACAAATATATTAAGGCAGTACTTTTATATTGTACTGCCACTTTTTATTTTTAAGCCAAGTTTCCGAGCTGGTTGGAGAAACAGTTTATTGAAGTGTTTTTTTTTTTTTTTTTTACTAAAAACACTGTAAACATTCTCGTTTTCCAGGAATCTGCTGGCCACTGGAGCCAAGGGCTTAAAGTGTCAATGCAGGACCCCAAGATGCAGGTATTAGTTGTTCATTTCTATTGAAACGTAAGTTTTTTCTCAATTTTTCTGAATTAATGAGTTCATTATCTCAGAATTATGAGATGCATTTTCATGAAAAAAAAGTTTTTTGCTCTGTTTTTCTGAATTAACGAGTTCATTATCTTAGAATTACGAGATTTTTTCATGAAAAAAAGTTTTTGCTCTGTTTTTCTGAATTAACGAGTTCATTATCTTAGAATTACGAGATTTTTTCATGAAAAAAAGTTTTTGCTGTTTTTCTGAATTAACGAGTTCATAATCTTAGAATTACGAGATTTTTTCATGAAAAAAGTTTTTGCTGTTTTTCTGAATTAACGAGTTATCTCAGAATTACGAGATTTTTTCATGAAAAAAAGTTTTTGCTCTGTTTTTCTGAATGAACGAGTTAATTATCTCAGAATTACGAGATTTTTTCATGAAAAAAAGTTTTTGCTGTTTTTCTGAATTAACGAGTTCATTATCTTAGAATTACGAGATTTTTTCATGAAAAAAAGTTTTTGCTGTTTTTCTGAATTAACGAGTTCATAATCTTAGAATTACGAGATTTTTTCATGGAAAAAAGTTTTTGCTCTGTTTTTCTGAATTAACGAGTTATTTATCTTAGAATTACGAGATTTTTTCATGAAAAAAAGTTTTTGCTCTGTTTTTTCTGAATTAACGAGTTAATTATCTAAGAATTACGAGATTTTTTCATGGAAAAAAAGTTTTTGCTCTGAGTTAATTATCTCAGAATTATGAGATACATGTTTCTTGAAAAAAAAATTTTTTACTCTGTTTTTATGAATTAATGAGTTTGAATTTTGAAGTCATTAATTCAGAAAAACAGAGCAAAACGTTTTTTTTTTCATGAAAAATGATCTCATAATTCTGACATAATTAACTCGTTAATTCAGAAAAACAGAGTAGTTTTCCTCAAGTGAATGCAATACGTTTCCATACAGAAGAGACGTCTCTCTCAAAGACATAAAAAAAAAAAGAAGTACTGTGTATAAAAGCATAAGAGCTTCCATTTATTGTCCTCAGGTGTACAAAGACGACCGGGTGGTGGTCATCAAGGACAAGTACCCAAAGGCGCGTTACCATTGGCTGGTTTTGCCGTGGGACTCGATCTCTAGTCTGAAGGCTTTACGTCCAGAGCACGTGGAGCTGCTCAAGCACATGCAGCGTGTGGGAGATCAGATGGTGCGGGAGTGCCGGGACGCTCACAAACTGCACTTCCGCATGGGATATCACGCCATCCCCAGCATGAGGTACACACGTCTGTGCCCTGATTGGCTGCTGGTGTGGGGAGGGCGGGGCTTGTCATGAACTAAATGTTTATTTTCCTCCTAGTCACGTCCACTTGCACGTCATCAGCCAAGACTTCGACTCGCCGTGTTTGAAGAACAAGAAGCACTGGAATTCCTTCACTACAGACTATTTTGTTGAGTCTCAAGGTGAGAGGAAGAAAAGCTAAAATGATGCAATGTTTGTGTGGGATTTTTTTTTTTTTTCTTGTTTTTATAAACGTGTTAAGTCCTTTAATGAAAATGTTGCTCCATCACATGGATGTAAAGCATTAATACATTATATTTAAAGTCCCCCTGTGGTGAAAATCAAGTTTTTAATATTGTTTATATGTGATGTTTTTAATACGCTTTAAGACAAACCATGTATAAATTCATAAGTCGACAGCGTTTTCTCAAACACACGGTTTGAAATCGCTGATGTTTCTGACGTCACACACTAGCTTGTAACCAATCAGATCAACGTGTGATCGTCAACCAGTGGATGGGGAGGCGGGGCTCATTTGCATATTCATAGAACCACGTATACTAAATGAGGCAAGGGTGTCGAGTTACATTCAAGCTACTATTTTAAGGCATTTTATCTTGGTGCTAAAATTATTGACTACAGGGGGACTTTTTTCAAAGATGTAATCAAGTAAAGCGCTTACCGGTATGCTCATCTTCCGCAGACGTGGTTGCGATGCTGGAGCATGATGGGAGAGTGACGGTGAAGGAAGGTGCTAGTGAACTACTGAAGCTGCCTCTGCGATGTCACGCGTGTCGTAAAGAGCAGCCGACGATACCCAAACTCAAAGAGCATCTCAAAACACACCTGCCTGCTTAAAGACACCACAGCTCACTCGTACGGGACAGACGCCGTTTTTTTTTTTTTTTCTAGTTTAAAGTTTGTCAAAATCACAAATCATTTTGTAAAACAGCCCTTTAGTAAAATGGATTTGTTCTGGATATCTGGTGTTTTCATTCAGTCCTCACTTTCATTAATGCAATAATGAATCAATAACATTCTCTTTGGTCTTTATTGAATGGAGTCCGTCTAAACATAGTAGTTATAATTAAATTGTCTGTCACGCACACACAACTTTCAAACTAAAGCACTTGGGTAAAGCTACAGTGTGTAATTTCTGCATCAAATGGAATTGCACAAACTCTTTTCAAACAATTCATTGATTGTTGTGATAAACAAATAGACTGCATTTCCATTTGGTTTTGCTAGTGGTGTAAAAATTACACACTTTAGCTTATTGGCACAAGGGAAATGACATTCAATGTTCTGCTGCTGATTAAGAAATCGAGTCTCGTATAATATATTTGCTTGTAACATGATCCTGCACAAAATAAACAGTGCAAATATAAGATGGAACAATTACATAATATTAAAATAAGACACTCAAGTACCGACTGAACCTCAAACGATCTGAGAGGATCCTATATTAAAATGCTTGCATAGAAAAACATCGACAGCTAGAAAGTCTTTCAAAGTCAAAATAAGATTAAGTACAAAAAGCACCAGTTAACTAGGACTAAACCCAAAGATGACTTCTCAATAGACTTAAGTATCCTAATAAAAATGCGGAGGCAAACTTTTTTTAATTAAAATATAGGAGCAGAAATCTTCCAGCTAGTGTCGTTTCTTGTGCGAGTACCCAACTCACTGTTCTAGAGTTTTCTAATGTAAAATGCCCTTTAAGTCGTGATGACAGATGTCCGTCACATTATAATCCCTGAAGAGAAGCTTTTGAGCATCTCAATAGCACTTTTTTTTGGAGTGTCAGATGATGTAATACCACGCTGGTCTTCATCAGGCCTGTGTACTTCCAGTCTGAAACATAATAATTGATGAGTAAATGAATAGAGCGCAAAACAGCCTGTCTGCTTATTTAGTGCATTTTGTTTCTGGAAGTATTATTTCTATTAATTTAAACGCAATAAGCCATGACATAAACAAACCAGGTGCAAGGTGAATCCCAACCATTACAAACTTTGATATGGAGCAACAAAGCATTTGAAAATCGGATAAAGGATTGTGTACTTAACAGCTTAGAAAAGGTAAATAACTACAATCCCATTAATGGTGGCATAAAACTGTTGTTGATTATATCTATAGAAACACCATATTTTTTAACGTCACATTTTAGTATTTTGACTGAACAACTCAATGTTTTTACGTTGCTTTAAAAAAAAAAACTACAATCCCATGAAGCACTGCGAACGCCATAATGGTGATCTATAGAAACACCATATTTTAGGTTATTGCAAAATATGCAAATATACTCTATATAGACGTATTTTAGTATTTTATACTGTCGCTGTCACAGAAAGCTGGAGTTTCCAACTTCCTACTAGGAAAAAAAAAATTTAAGGCCCTGTTTACTCCTGGTATTAAGATGTGTTTTGGTCGAGCGGATCGCAAGTAGACAAGGGAGACAAGCTCCCATTCACACCTAGTGTTTTAATCCGCCTCTTTTGTCCACCGTCAATCACTTCAGTCATGGGGGGGTTAGTTTTATCCAAAGTAAAAAAAAAAAAAAAACACTATGTATATTGTACTCTTTAAGCCGGACAATTTTCTAATTTACAGTCATTAGCTACGACAAACAGGTAGTCAGATATTTTGGTTTGAATGTGGATTTCAGACTCTGAGTTTTTAGCTACTCCTCCCAAGTAGTTTATTTTATTCTTGCCAAACTTTTTCAGATGAAACAGTTTACAAATAAGCTCATGCAATGTACATATGAATCACCTTTCATTTCTGCTCTGACAGCCATAAGATCACGCTGAATGAGTGTGTGTGTTAGTAATCAGGAATTGAGGGAGAACATTGTGCTTGATACATTTTTCATCTTCAAACCAAATTTGGGTCTTCAACCAAGCTAATGCAATTCCCATAATGTTTACGCATTAGATCAGTAGACCAAGAGAAGACGGCTTTTTTGTGGCTGTTCGACCACTTGAGAGTTTACACTACAAAAGCAATCCGGTCGAATGTGTGAAGTGATCGAAAGTGGACAAGCTCAAAGCGTTTTAGACCCCGTTTACACATTTAGTGTCGTACACTTTTGATCCGGTCGACCGAAACACATCTTAACACCAGGTTTAAACAGGGCCTAAGATGGGCTTACAAACTTGTGCAAAATCAAACTTACATGGAATTGAAATTGAAAAGGTGTTTATGATGAGAAATCTGTGATCAATTGAAAATAAAACAATATTAAACTCACCATCGATTTCATTTCCCGACTGTCTCCTTCTGCTTTGTTGTACCGCTCTGTGGCTTTCTTGGCGTTCTCCACGAACTCCTACATGACCAATCGTTGAGAGACACCGAGAGCATGTTAAATCTGCTATATAGCATCGCAAGGCTATTTTAAATGACTTTTGGTTGGGCTTAATGAGTAAAAGAAGTGGAAAACCTCTCACCATAAGGCTCTTGTCCATGTAGTACTCGCTGCCCGAGCTGCCGTCGTTGTACTTGGTGTCGATGGCGAAGCAGAGGAAGAGTACGTCTACTACGATCTCGAAGATGGAAAGGAAACAGTGGGCCACCAGGAAGGCGAACACACACACGATGATGAGCGGCAGCACCCAGACGGTGTACTCGCGCTGGTAGTTCAACGCAAGGACACCCGCAAATGCCGTGCATGACACGATCAACACCTACAGACGCAAGAAACACACCGAGAAAAAATTTAAAACAACAATATATTTTATCGCTTAACAAAACAAAAAGATACAAGTTCACTTTTTTTTACCAGAAGCAATGCGTATTTGTAATGCAAATCTTTTATTAAGGATTCTTCAGGTTTCTCATTGTGTGAATGTTAGTATAAAGCATCATGCATATGAATGTTGTAATATGTAGATTGTTAATGCATGTTTTTTTTTATTTTTTTATGTGATGCCACTGCCCTTATATAATTGCCCCTTGTGGGATTAATAAAGTGGTTAACTTAATTTATATCTTAGCGATCTTTATCACATAAATCACTTTCATCAGTATAATTGTCAACCGAAAATAAGCTCAAATAAAATCAAAATATTAAATAATTAATTTTATTAATGCTGCCTTGTCAATTAAATGCAATGAAATGTTGAAGTACTAAAATTAAAACGGGTAAAAAAAAAAAAAATTACATATACACAGTACTGTGTATATATATAAATAAATCTGTATATATATAAATAATTTTTTTTTAAATAAAAAATTATTTATATATAAATCTGAAATATATTCATGTATAAATATATATATTTATAAATGCATATATTTCTTTATAGCTTTAATATATTTCAGATTTAACTTCTGATTTCAACTTAAAGTTTTTATTTCAGTTAGTTGAAGCAGCAAAATGTGTGTGTATGTATAAATATATGTTTATAACACTGAATTCTCTGCGATATAAAGTGAAGTTGACTACATACCTTCCCCAAGAACAGGACAAAGTCCCCTACACTGTTGATAGCTGCCACACGGAGAGCGTTTTCCACTAGGATGAAGAAAGCGTCTCGTGCAGATGTGCAGAAGTTGGTGCTGTTAATGGCCGTTGCCGTATATGCGTTCTGAAGAAAAAGCCACAAGATTAATGCATCAAATGAACATGAATGATTTGAGCTTTCGGCACAATATACACACACGCACGACTCACCATGTTCAGGTAGGTGAGGCACTTTTCTAGACACCATAGACAGCAGATACACGCCTTCAGCATGCAGCGGGCACAGCCGTTTTCCTGCAGGAACAACATATACTTTATTTGACCATTCAAACGTTTGGGGATTTTTATTTTTGAAGAAATTAATACTTTTACTCAGCAATGATGCTTTACACTGATCAAAAAATTACAGTCAAGACATTTGTTATTATTCATCAAAAAAATTGTTTTAAACATGGATAATAATGAGAAATGTTTCTTGACCATCAAATCATTATATTAGAGTGATTTCTGAAGGATCATGTGACACTGAAAACTGGAGTGATGATGCTGAAAATTCAGCTTTGATCACAGGAGTACGTAAATTACATTTTAACATGTATTCACATAGAAGACAGTTATTTTAAATTCCAACAATATTTCAGAATATTACTGTTTTAAAGGTGCATTATGTAACTTGTGTCCCTTTAGCGCTTAAAAAAAAAAAACTACATGCATTTTGGGGAAGAACATTGTTTTGGATGTGCTTAGGCTCTGCGTGACTGTGCTCGTAAAACATTCACTACTAGACTTAAGAGATATAACTCGATCTGACTAGCTGAAGACATTACCCATTATCATAATCAGTTAGTTCCAATCCTTGATTCCGATTGGTCAATAGCTGGGCTTTATTTATGATAAACGGCTATGTCCGCTTCACCCAACGGTTCTATGTATCACGGCGCAACACTGCAGTTCCAATGTTGTTTTTATTTGAGCTTTCATGCATGTTACACATTGGAGCGTTGTTGCTGTTCACGGTCAGGGACTATTTTTCTAGCGGAAGGAAGGCTTTTAGTGATTTTACTTCATGAAAGTTGCACTAATACATTTTTTTTTTTTACGTTAATATTTTTATTGTGTGGTAACCGTTTTCTAAAAGCAATAAGGTGCTCGAGGCAAGTGCTGTATAGCGAGTAAGTCACGGCTGACTCCGCTTCGCGTCGAGCCTAACAACGCCCTTTAGCCGTTACTTACTCACGATACAGCACAGCCTTACATCTGTTATCTGTAAAACATATGCAACATCTGTTATCTGTAAAATCTGTTAGAGAGCTACATAAATACATTACTAACATGTTGAGTAATAAAAACACCATCATCTCCACTTTCTCTGGAGTTTTCACTTTCGAGTGACGCATGTACACAATTTTGTTAATTCTGAACAAAAAAAAGTTACGTAGTGCACCTTTAATGGCGAGACATGGACATGAACTCACTTTTCCTTTGAGCTGGCTGTGGATGTAGGTGAGGATGAGGCGAGGAATCTCCACTAGAGTGATGATGAAGGCTCCTTTAACTACGGTGCCCAAATGATAGCGCATCAGACGCAGGACAGACGACACTATGGGCGTCAAGGGCATCTGAGACTTATCTCTGCAACAGCAGAAGGAAAAATAATCACAATGATTTGCCTTTCACAAATAAAGTGTCTTTTTTCGAAGCGGCTTTGACCTCCGACCTGGTGAAGTAGTACGTGACCACGGCGCCAGCTACGGTCATCTGCTGACAGGCGAGGATGAACTCGCTGATCCAGATGAGGCCCACGGCGTGGTACCACACCATGTACTGCAGCGGCCCGTCCATACGAAACTCCACCAGACCCGTCTGGTTATTCTTCACCGGACTCCCTGTGGCGGGAACAAACATGTGATGATATTGGTGGAGAGAAATCTGAAATGAGCGATTTATAATAACACTAAAAATCGGCGGATTAGGAGTAGGCAATATTTAATTTTTTTTATGACACAATTTTCTTATGAAATAAAATAATCCCATTGCAAATATAGAAATCATCATATAAAGTGATCAAGATTTCTAGTGGCCATGCATGAGAATGAGTCAGAGATGTTTTAACTGCATTTCAGATTAAACTTCAGAAAAATGGCATTAGTACGGAAGCTAGGTTCCACAAGTTAATTGTTAATTGTGACTTTTTATTGTGAATTTTTTCGCCAAATTGCATGATATAAAGACTTTTTCAGAACTGTGAGTTTATATCTCACAGCTCGGACTTTATAACACGCAACTGCGGGTTATAGTCGGAATTTCGAGATCACAATTGAGAAAAGAAGTTGTCTCTCAGAATTTGACTGTATAACTTTATATATTACAATTATGGGAAAAAAAAGTCATTATTGAGAGACATAAACTTGCAATTGCAAATATTTTGTCGCAATCATATTTTTAAAAATGTTTTATTACGTGGCAGAAACAAGCTTCCATATGAGTTTGATTCATTTCACTAAGTTAGTTTTATATTTGCAGTTCAGCAAATATATTTTCATGCACTAAAGTAACAATACAAATAAATAGATTAAATCATATATATATATATATATATATATATATAAAAAATATTTAAATGAAATGTACAAATTTTACGTATAATCATCATATACACATACATAAAATGTAAATATAATAACTATTGTATTTTATAAACATTTAAAAAAAAAATTATATATATATATATATATATATATATATATAAAATCGCGATTAATCGCATCCAAAATAAAAGTTTGTGTTTGCATAATATATGTGAGTGCACTTTGTATAATTATTTTATATATATATATATATTTATATATATATATAAATACACACACATGCTTGTATATATTTAAGAAATATTTTCATGTATATACTGTATAAAGATTTATATATAATTTAAATTATATATAAATATTATATATATAAATATATAATATTTTTTTCTAAAATATACAAGCATGTGTGTGTATTTATATATATATACAAAATAATTACACACAGTGCACCCACATATATTATGTAAACACAAACTTTTATTTTGGATGCGATTAATCGCGATTAATCGTATGACAGCCCTAATATACATATATAAAAGTTTTAGTTCTGTCTTTAAACATTTTGACCATTCCTCACTGGAACAGAGACGTAACTATCGAGTCTAACGTATCTGATAACATAAATAATACACAAAAGCTCCTGCGATCGACTCCCTGAAGAGCCGCCCACCCCAGCCCTGCGTTTGTGTGTGTGTGGACGCACCTGCGGTTCCCAGGAAGAGGAGCACGGTTATCCAGTAGACCCAGAAGAGCATGAGCGTGAGGAAGGTCCAGAAAGGCTGCAGGGCCAGCAGGGGCAGATGGGTGAACACTTTCCCGGCCACATGAAACAGAGCGATGGTGAGCGCCACACGCTTCCTCATGAAGAACATCAGCAGGAGCAGAATCACCTGAGGCGTACAGTTACAACGTGCACGGTAAATATTTGCATTTGCCAGTCCAGTGGCGATTCCACACGTAGGCCCCGGTTCATACCGTGAACACAGTGGCGGCGATGGCGTAGACGAGCAGGGCTTGTTGGTTGTCTTTGGCCACCTCCAGTTCATGAGCCGGCAGAGTGGCGTTCACTGCTTTCCCGTGATCCACGTACAGCCACCACAGGATCCCAGTTCCACCTGCCACAAACACAGCACTGGCTCTCAGATCACGGACTCAGCTGGTGACGGTCAGTGCTGGACGTTTCATTTACTTCAATGTGATACTCACCAACCGAGCCGATCACCACAACAGCTGTCAGAACCCAGACCAGAAGCATGGAGATGTAGCGGATCACAACCATCATAATCAGAGACAGAACTGCAGAGACATAATCAGTGGAGCTTTCATTCTCACGCTTCTGACCACTTATTAGTTAAAGGGATACTCCACTTTTTTTGGAAATAGGCTCATTTTACAACTCCCTCAGGGTTAAACATTTGGGTTTTACCGTTTTCGAATCCATTCAACCGATTTTCTGATATTTAAAAGAATATCATTAAACAGACAGTTTCTGGTCTCATTGACTTCCATAGTAGGAAAAAAAATATACTATGGAAGTCAATGAGACCAGAAACTGTCTGATTACTGATATTCTTCTAAAAATCAGAAAATCGACTGAATGGATTTGAAAACGGTAAAAACTCAACACTTTAACTGTAGGGGAGTTGTAAAATGAGCCTATTTCCAAAAAAAAGTGGAGTATCCCTTTAACAATGAGGAACAGTATTTATTAATATTTGTTAATATTAGTACAACTGTTCATTGATAGATCGAGTCAACTCAGGTCCATTAAGTAATAGATACAACATTTGGTTATAATAATGTATTATTACATGTTAAAAACTGTTATTCAAATAGATAATTTAGCTAATAAATTAATGTTAACAAAAGTCATTGCAATGTGTCATCACTAAAACCATTAAAATTAATTTTCATGGCTTGAAATTAAATCTAAAATTCTTACGCATTTTATTTCAGCTAGTTGCCAATTGAAACATTTCTACTTTTTATTTAGTTTAACTTTCAAGGTGCACTGTGTAATATTTAGGAGGATCTGTAGTCAGAAATGCAACTATGTTTTCAGTGGTGTATAAAGAAGACCTTACATATAATTGATAATAATAATAAATCTCAATAACATATAGTTTTACTCAACAGGCAAGTAAACAACGTAAATAAACCTCATTGCTAACTGGCTACTCTCTGCTGTCTTGGAAGACGACATCTTTTCCTGTCGGCCATCGTGACTTCTGTTAGTTGCAGTTCACAACGTCACCACTAGATGCTGCTAAAAATCGCACACTGCACCTTTAAAGCACTAAAATAACTAAATAAATTAATAAAAACTATAGACATTTAATAAAAAACAAAAACACAACAACATTACAAAAATGTAACCGTGTAATGCGCTCACCGAGAGCTAGCAGACACAGGCCCATGATGATGTCTTTGGAGGTCATGACCCCGGCGATGACCCGGTGCACCACGCTGTTGTCGCTGACGAAAGTGATGAACGCCTCCGCAAACTTGGCGTAGCAGGAAATGTCAACGGGCATACAGCGGTGAAACACTGGCAGAGACGCACTGCACCAAGAAATGACAGATAATGAGGTTTCTTAATATCAACATAGAAGCAGTGAAACATACAGAGAAGTTTTCGTCGCTGTGTTGACATGAGTATGGGTGTAAATATTGATGGGTTATTATCGTTTTAAATTCCCAATAGTTTTTATTTTAGCCGTGAATCATAATTTGCAACTTGCTATCCCTAGTCAGTGGCTTTCTAGTAAAATATAGGAAAAATTTAGGTACTTTCCTGTTATCCGGACCCCACCATATACCATTTAGGAACTGTAGTCATCCCTGATTGGTCTTAACCCCAGTGACGGGTAGGTTTAGGGTCGGGGTTAGGGGTAGGCCATCGTGGGGTCCGGATCCCACCATATACCATTTAGGAACTATAGTCATCCCTGATTGGTCTTAACCCCAGTGACGGGTAGGTTTAGGGGCGGGGTTAGGGGTAGGCCATCGTCCCTGATTTTTAATTAATTATTTTATTCAGCAATGATGCATTAAATTGATCAAAAGTGACAATAAAGACATTTATAATGTTTCAAAAGATTTCTCTTTCAAACTTCGTTCATCAACGAATCCTGAAAAAAATGTATCTGGGTTTCCACAAGAACTGTTTTCAACATTGATAATAATGAGAAATAATCATCGAAGAATCAAATGATTTCTGAAGGGTCATGCGACACTGAAGACTGGAGTAATGATAGAATCACAGGAATAAATTATATTTTAACATTCAAATAGAAGGTTATTTTGAATTGTAATAATATTTCACAATATTACTGTTTGTACTGTATTTTTGATCAAATGGTGCGACTTTACAAAAACATTAAAAAATCTTGACACCAAACCTTTGTATATCTGCCAAAACATAATTTAGCCAGTTTTTTTGGAGCAGACTAGCATAAATATGGGCTCAAATCTAACACACATGGACTTAAAAGCAACAAAACTTATGGTTTATGAACTAGACTAAGTATCTACCTTGGATGGACAGGAAGTGTTGGACATTTTGTAGCTCTATTAGGGTGAGATGAATATGTGTCTGGTTTTAAGTCATAGGTGCATAAATCAGATCCTAGAAACAATAATATGGAAAAACAAATCATTAGTCGTACAAATCCATTCAATTATATTTAACTACATTCAACAGCACTGAGCTCACCATTAACGCTGGAGAACTTTGCGAGATCCTCGTACGACTTCAGCTCAGTGTCTGGACACTTTGAGACGCACAAAGCCACAGATTTAATCTTTCTTTTCATTACGTCGATGTTGCAGGGATCCAGGAAAAACACATACCTGTGACGACAACAACACCATGGAAAAAACGGTCATTCAGTGATTATTTGCACATCTGCTGTTGCAGCTTCACTCAATGCTATGGTTTCACACACTTTCTGGAGGTGTGGTCCAGGCCGCTGTGCTCGATGCCAGGGATTTGGGCGTTCTTCTGACCGCAGGTGTTCCCGTAGCTGTCGTACCCTGATATGAGCCTTGAGGCGGCCCCTGTTGCTATAGCGAAGCCACATATGCAGAGCTGCCATAGAAACACAAGATGATGGTGATGATGGGACACAAACAGTAGCAAATGAAAATTAAATACTGTATTGGGGGCAATATTTGCTGCAGTTTAAGCAGTTGTGAATTTGCTTTTTCATTTCACTTTTGGTGTGAACGCTGCCTTTACATTTGCCGAAAAATATAACTTTTTTGAAAAAAAAAACAAGCCTAGCCCAGGTGAGAAAGTCATGCAGAAGTTTACATAAAAAGTATTGTAGTGGATTACTTTCCAAAAAATAAAAAATAAATAATGGATTACTTTCTGCAAAGTATTGTAGTGGATTATTTTCTGCAAAAGTATTGTAATGGATTACTATCTGCAAAGTATTGAAGTGGATTACTATCTGCAAATGAATTGTAGTGGATTACTTTCCATAAAATGTATTGTAATCCATTACTTTCTACAAAAGTATTGTAGTGGATTACTTTCTGCAAAGTATTGTAGTGGATTACTTTCTGCAAAAGTATTGTAATGGATTACTATCTGCAAAAGTATTGTAGTGGATTACTTTCTACAAAAGTATTGTAGTGGATTGCTTTCTACAAAAGTATTGTAATGGATTACTTTCTGCAAAATATTTGTAGTGGAATACTTTCTACCAAAGCATTGTAGTGGATTACTTTCCATAAAACGCATTGTAGTGGATTACTTTTTAACAAATGTATTGTAATGGATTACTTTCTGCAAATGAATTTTAGTGAATTACTTTCTGCAAAATAATTGTAATGGTTACTTTCTAAAAAAGTATTATAATGGATTACTTTCCATAAAAAGTAACTTTTTTAGGGAGTAAAACACTTTTACAAGAGACTTTCCCCAACACTGCTATTATCTATATTATCAAAATAACATGAAACAACAACAATAATTGATACATTTAATAATTCCATCATGCTTCATTGTTTTTTTTCCTTGTATTTGTAATTGTGTGCTGTATTTATATATCTTTTTAATTATGTGAATTATATTTATTTAGTATTAATTTCACAAGACCTAATGATCATGTTTGTTCTCTTCTTACCATGCCTATGTTGAAGAGGATGAAGAGGAGCAGCCATGGGATATCTGTGCACTTCCTCTGCTCTAAGGGTTTCCAGTCGCGTGTCTTCTGTTAAGGGGAAGTTGTGGAGGGCTTAGGCAACATTTTAGAATTATGTAGACTTTTTATAGAAGCAGATGGTTCCTTTGTCACACAAAATGACTATTTAAGTAAACTATAAAAGTTTTAGTAAACAATAACAACAGTGGTGACCAGTCAAAGCTTCCAAAAATAAAAATTAAAAACTCCTGTTTTTCCCCCCTATGTTAAACTACATAGACTCAATTCCAAGACGTAGATTTCAGGGAAATATAGCATGGAATAAAAAAAAGATGAAAGCATAGTTTTAATGGGACTGTGTGAACCAGGACAGGTGTGACTGTGCCAGGTTCTCGCAGTCAATAACCCGGAAATGATCTTATCTTTACACTAGTATTGACAAACAAATCTTTGACCCTTGATTCATTATTATTATTGATGCGTTGAAGGCGATTCGTTGCTAATAGATCCCTATGTAAAGTGCACAGACCTTCTCTTTAATAAAACTCATTTACAATATATTTGCATACATGCGATCGTATCGGAACATAATACTTACACTCTTCTTGCTGTGCGTTTTGTCGTCAAACTCCCAAAAGTTTCCAGGTGTGAATCTGCATGCAGATATAGACGATGATCTCTTACCTGTGTGCTGCCGCAGCATCCCATAATTCCTGAGTCGACGAGACGAGAACCACAAACAGAACCTCACGTGAGACCGTGTAGATCAGGGAGTCGCCAGCGCGAGAGCAGCGTGTCCTGCGGCGCTAGTTTCGGGAGAACCGAGTGTAAAAGTTGCACATTGGTGATAAATGCCCTTGGAAACAAAACGCGTCCGGTAGAGCAATCACGCATGCGGCATGACTATAAAACACACTCAAATCGCTGATTGTAAATGGATTAGGACTGGAGAATGAGTGTTTTTCAGGATCTGTTCATTCTCCCTTGTGAATTCCGTGACAAGGATGGTGAAGGCGGAGCTGTCCTGTCCTCTTCCTCCTTCTCCTTTTCTTCTGTCACACTGGAAAACATTGAACTGAGATCAGATATTTCACTCTGGAGCTGTCCTGGGTCGAATCTAGATTAATATTAGGACAGTCCTACTTGTTTTACGTTTGATAATGCAAGCTGTGTCAGTGTCATTGATCTGGCGCTGTTTGATTCGCGAACGAATCATTCTTTTGAACAGGTTCTTTTGAAATGATTCGGTTGAAGAATCACAAAGAATCACTCGATAGCGAGACTGAACCAACCCGAGCGTATTATACTAATTAATAATTACTTTAATTATATTACTTTTCCATTGAAAAACTAAAATAAGGGATTACTCTTAATTTGTCTGTAATTTAATCACAGTTACTTCTGGTGTTTTGCATTGAATACAGTTGTATTGTTCAAATGTTCGAGGTTGACACGTGATTTAGAAAATGTAGTAACAATTATTAATCCAATACTTTTTTAGAGACAGCAATTAGTATGGTAATTTAGCTAGTAGCCTAATTAATTAACTTATGGAGCAGTAAGTGTCTTTTAATTTCGATTTGTTCTTTTCTTTTACATAGAGCTATACAAAAACAATGACAGTATGGTGTTAACAGCATATCATTTACATTATGCAATGCATTGTAAATAATATTGGAAACAGTAACAACTTATAATATCCGACAACATAGTGATAAGGATACATTTTAAAACATATGAAAAATTTAAAATGCTGTGGAGAAAGAATACTTTTTTTGAGTAGCCTACTACCTGGAAAGGATCATTTGAGTCAAAATATTAATTAAAACGAACCGCCCAAAAGAATCGATTCACTACATTGAATCGAATCTCCAGCTCGTTTATTGTGATTTTAGCACCATCTAGTGGAGATAACGAAGTTTTAAGTGTCCGCGACCATTTTATGGTCTGATTGTTAGTCCAGTACGTGCTTTAGGCGCAGAAGACTGTGGTGATTATTATTTTATTAACTGAAGCTGTAAATTTTGTTTTTCCTTTATGGTGGGAGTTAGAATACAAACAACTTCACAAGACAAACCAAACGTCAAACAGATCCGCTAAAGTGGAGATGCCGGGGATTGAACCCGGGGCCTCATACATGCAAAGCATGCGCTCTACCACTGAGCTACATCCCCGTTAAGTCCTCTAAAATGAATTAGTTTACTGGACGCACGGGACTTTACCTGTCAATCACACAGTGTATTACTAACATTTTATTGGCTGACATGTCTTTAAAGGGGAGTGATTTCGGAAAGAGGGAATGAAGTAGGCTAGCACCTCATTGCAGTACACGAGATCCAGGGGGCGGAGTTAGATCCAGATCTAAGGGGTGGAGATGGGTAGGATTATGGGTGGGGTTAAGGTCAGGGGGTGGCACCAACAACCATGCCACGCTCAAAATTGCTTAAATCACCTTTCTTTCCCATTAAAAAAAAACAAAAAAAAAAAAACCTTTCTTTCCCATTCTGACATTCAGTTTGGAGTTCAGGAGATTGTCTTGACCAGGACCACACCCCTAAATGCATTGAAGCAACTGCCATGTGATTGGTTGATTAGATAAATGCATTAACAAGAAATCAAGCAGGTGTTCCTAATAATCCTTTAGGTGAGTGTATAAGCCTTATAAGGCCATGAGTCATTAAAATATCATGTTATATTATTTTCTTCCACAAGAGGTCGGTAGAGACACTCAATGACTTTTTGAGTTTTACATTTCTTCGGAGAGTTATTTTGTATTTAAGATAAATAATCTGAAGAATGTGTTATATAATTTAATTTACATAAAATTATTGACGAAAAATAATACGTAGTATAATAATATGTAGTACAATTAAATAAAATGTAGTACAATTAGTACAAGTACAGGTAGCCTGCAGTTTAAGGCAAGCTAGCAAACAAATGTTGTTTTGACTTCATTTCCTTTACTATCATTTATTAATTTATTCCACCAACAGTAAAAAAAGCACACACAAATGACTGAAATAGCTTTTTAATATTTAAAATGTAAACACATACATTGTAACACAGAAAATAATGGCCATGTTGGGACATCTGAAATCGTCTATTAATCTGTTGTTAAACACAAAACATCCCGTTTGTGAATTATGAATATCACGACCAGTTTAACATCGACTGTTATATAAAGTGCTTCAGTTTTGGACCAAAGACGAAACTATTTTTTTTTTTTTTTTTGCATCTTCGTCATCAAATGTGCAGCGGGGGGGTTGTTGCTGAATTTCTGAGGGTGTGTGTCTAAAGAGCACCGCACGGATTTGGAAATTAGACTCAACCGGTAGCACCTCATTGCTTTTGGTCACTTCACGCTGTAGGCGAACAACAAGACAGCATTGGTCGAGATCGCAAACGTGGTAAAAGTTAAACTAAGGAGGATTGACACAGAATAAAGAGGCACATCCTGAGTTATTAACTATGGCCAATGAATGTCATTTCCAGGAAAAGATGTAGCTCTGTTTTTTTTTTTTTACAACGAAACTTGTTTCAAATCATACGGTGTATCGACAATAACAACAACAACAACAACAAAAATGTAACATTTAGTCGCCTTGTTGAGGGCCACTAGCATAATATCCACCACAGACAACTGGGTTGCTTGATAATACGTTCATTTGGAAAGATTTGAAAACCACTTGACCAGTTTTGGCACGGACAGGATTTGATTCTGTACAGTTTCACGATAATGAATTTCCCAGTGAAGTCCAACCGAAACCCTCCTCGAGATCAGCGATACCCACACAGAAATACTTCAGGATAACGAAAGCCAGAACATGCTTGAGCTTACAATGGCGTCCTAAAACACGGCATCCATGTAAAGCATGCAAGAAACCCCAAAGTCATCCAAAAAAAAAAAAAAAAAAAAAGTGTGCTCGACGCTTCTGGTGTCCTTTCTAATCCATTAGCGGAGTGTTGTTTTTCAAGACCCCACGCTTGCTAACACTTGACAACAATAGTGAAACATTGCACATCATTGCATCAAAATATCTTTGAGTATAGCGTTAAAAATGCATATCTAAAAAATAAACGTAAAAGGACCGAGAAGAGTTGCTGAAATGCAAAAGTTTGAAGCTAAACGAGGAGATGAAGTCGGCTCTGAATTAGACATCTCGTTGGCAGTGTCCGATTGATATTTTTTCCGATAGAAACCCCGCAGGCATCTTGTCAATGAAACATTCATGTACATCTTCAAGTTTTCTTCGCGTTCACCGTGACGGAGGGGCAACAAGCACCAGGCTCAGCCTCGCCGTCGTCGCCCTTTACTACAATTTTTGCATTGATTTGCATTGATTTGCTTCAGTAGTGTGTTTTAGGTCCAGTGCCTGTTTGTGAGCACACACACACACAGCTGAAATAGGACAAAACAACTAAAAAGTAGTACACACTAGTCCCGCAGAGGTGTGTTTTTGTATCCGATGAATGACGGGTCACACCACTGACTCCTGCGCCTTCTGGTCTACGAGGAAGGCGTTCAGTTGAGAAATGTCCACAACGGCATCGTGTTTGTTCATGGAAATGTCTTTTAAGTGGTCCTCGTCCGTTTGGTCCTTGGCAAAATTGACAAATACCTGAAATGAGCACACAAATATCGAATAAGTTACAGAGGATGGTGGGTTTTTAATTTATTTTGAGGTGTTTCGTTCTTTTGCGAACCTCTGATTTACACAAACGTTTAAAAGTTTGGGTTTGGAAAGGTTTTTATTGAAAGAAATCTCTTTTGTTCACCATGGCTGCATTTATTTGATCAAAAACACAAGCATTTTAAAGGGATACTCCACTTTTTTTTGGAAATAGGCTCATTTTACAACTCCCCCAGAGTTAAACAGTCGAGTTTTACCGTTTTCGAATCCATTTCGAATTTAGAAGAATATCAGTAACCAGACAGTTTCTGGTCTCATTGACTTCCATAGTAGGAAAAAAATATACTATGGAAGTCAATGAGACCAGAAACTGTCTGGTTACTCATATTCTACTAAATATCAAAAAATCGGCTGAATGGATTCGAAAACGGTAAAACTCGACTGTTTAACTCTGGGGGAGTTGTAAAATGAGCCTACAGTATCTCCAAAAAAAGTGGAGTTTCCCTTTAAATGATAATATTTCATAAAATTTTATTTGAACATATTGTGAAATGTAATTTATTCCTTATTCCTCAATTCTCAGCATCATTCCTCCAGTTTTCAGTGTCACATGATCCTTCAGAAATCATTCGATCAAAAAACATGTTTAAAACAATTATGATGCTTCATACTAATGGGGGAAATGATTTGTCAGGATTCTATGATGAACAAAGTTCTGAAAAACAGCATTTATTTTTAATTTTAAACATTATAAATGTCTTTACTGTTACTTCTGATCAATTTAATGCTCCTTGCTGAGGGATAGTTCGCCCAAAAATGAAAGGTCTGTCATCATTTATCATCTGAAGATGAACGAAAGTCTTACGGATTTTGGAAAGACACAAGGGCGAGAATTTAATTTATTTCTTTTAAATAACTTTTTTAATTGAGCAATTTTGCTATATTTCAGTGAATTTCAACAATTCATGTAATGCAAAATGCTCAAAAAGTGCACTTTTAAATCTATATGGCATCGAATATCCCATAAAACAATAGGGGTGTCACGATATATCACAATACAAAAATGCAACAAAATGTATCATGGATTGTGACAATCCGTATTGTGTATAGTTCACCCAAAATGAAAAAATGACAGTGTCAGTACTACATTAAAGTACTATATATAATGTATAAAATATTACCAGTTTACATTATTTTAAATATATCAAGCAAAGCATATTCGCCTGAAATAATTCTATATTTTCAGCTTCAGAATCATGAATATTGTTACTCTGGCTTACCAAGATATTCATTTACACCCACAATATAAAATCAGATTGGAATAACGCAATAATATCGTATAGTGAGTTCAGTTTCGTGATATGAGGGTGACGTGACACCCCTACTAAGCGATCTTGAAGCGCTCTTACTTGGTCTAAAGTGGTCTGTGTGACGGAGTAGTCCTCGATGTGGAGCTGCACTTTGTTCTTGGAGAGGATGTTGAAGATGCGAGCGAGGGATGTGAGCGAGGAGGGCAGCTGGTACTGCAGCATGTTCCTGTGCTTCTCCTTCAGGGTGCTGCCCGGCAGCTC